AGATGCCTCATTATAGGGACAGCCCTGCGTGTACCCCTATTATTTTGCTATTGTCCTTTTTTAGAAAGGAGAACCCCTAGAATGAGGATTGCCAATGATGATAGTCCTGGTTTGCAGAGCTCACCATCTCTTTCTGTTCCTTGCCTGCTAGCTGATAAAGTATTTGTTATAATGTGGGATTTAAAACTGACATGTTCAGTCTGCCTCAAAGCAGATACTTCAGATTCTGGGTACATTCCACAATGAGGAATAGCTCAAAACTTCATTTCCTGGACTCCAGGAGTGGGATCTTCACACTTGCATTGTCCTTCTCACCTTCCCGCTGTGGCTATTACCAGGGGGTTTCATTTTTGGCATTGGATCTTTTACACAGAATGCAGCAGGAGTAATGAGACCCTTTTATCACACAGCAGGTGACAGACAATCCATGGCAGCCATGGACAGAGCCAGGATCTTCATCTCGGAGACCTTTGTATGACAGTCCTTGAGATGGAGAAACCAAGATCCTGATTTACTCAGCACCACTTGCATCTACGTAGAACAGGAGTAATAATGTTGGGTGGAGTGGTTCATTAAACAGAAACAGCTACGCCTAGAATGCATGAATATATAATGCAGTAGAATTGGCCTGTTGGGTCTATAAAAATGTGTGGTTTGAGATATTACGGGCAGGGCCGTCCCTTTCATGAGGCAGCCTGAGGATATTGCTCTTTGGGTCACGGGTGGGGGGGGGATGGCAGGCAGAGCAACATGACACTCTGCTGCACTATGTTTGAAGTTTGAATGCCGCCCCCTTCCTGGCCAGAGTGTCCCAGGTTGCTACAAACCGGGCAGAGGGCTGTGTAAGTCCTCATTCACACGAGAAAAGGCCGGCACGTACAGCTCTGTGCTGCGTGCACGGCCGTATCGGGCAGCTCCCAGGAAGGACAGGTTCTGTGTGTGATTAGTACTTTCTCCATGGGAGTACGCGGCCATACGTCGCCCTACGCTCACCCCAAGTGCAGGTCCGTACGGGTTTCCCAGCTCAGACGCAGACAGGATCCATCCTGTCAGCGTACGAACGCGGACACCCGCACGGACATGCAGGGTGGGCGAGCGTACGGCTGCGGACTCCCATAGAGAAGGACAGGGACTGCGTACTATCACACACAGCACCTGTCCTTCCTGGGAGCTGCCCGATACGGCCGTGCAGAGCTGTACGTGCCGGCCTTTTCTCGTGTGAATGAGGCCTAAGGGCCACATACATCTCCCTGCTCAGCTCTTAGCAAGCTGTTACACTCTGCCTGGCATCCCACCCAGCTCCTGGCAACCAGTGACGTCAGTGCCGAGGGTTGCTTACCCCTGCCATATAATTTCCCCTCATGGTCAGTATAGTAGTACACAGCTATGGCTTTTTCTGCTCAAGGCCACTCAGCAGGGTCTTCATCAGATAAGGCAAAGGACACACTGCAGCTACTCACAACTAATCAGCATCCATCTTCCATTTCCATAACCCTCAGCAACTAATAAGAATTCATCGTTTTTCTGCATGTTGCATCATGATTATGTTTTTCTTTTTTTCATAATTACATGTAAAACCTTCCTGCCGCCTTTTTTAAAAAAAAATTCTTGTCTGTGCCTGAAGAAGACTATCACTGGCTCCCTTACAACGTGTGTCTTTGACTCAGTCACCGGGTCTGTGGATTTCATTTTATTATGCTGCATATGTGACGTTGCATCGTCTTCATCTATTATACAATATACTAAAGTGCCTGTTTTATTGCACTAGCAGTATGCCAGCACTTAGTTACTGGAATTAGCCATGTGCGGAATTCATTTGCACCATGAAAGTACTCCAGTACAACCATTAATGAGATACAACGACCTTCATTTCACATCAGCTACCCATCCACCAGTCCATTTCTGCTAGATTGAAACGGCCGTTTGTAGTCTCTATTGGAAGCACGTTTTGACAGGTTGACAACACAGGAGCATAACTGAGACACAGGGACAGTGTTTTGTCATCCCAGATGCCTAGAAAAGGTCCTTTTTGGCAGGATCACCAGGTATTATTCTAATGTTAGCTGCACATTTAAATATATTGAAAATTACATCTGACATTATATTAACATGTTAAAGGAGAACTATGGGGTTAAGGCTTTTCCCCATAGTTCTCCTTAGGGTAACGGGAGGACACAAACTAGCATCCTCCCGTCACCCTAGGTTCAGTATACCGCGAGCTGTAGCTCGCGGTATACTGAGACGCCGCAGCTGAAGTGGATCCCGACAATTGTGCCGGGATCCGCCCAGCTGCGTGACTGACAGCTGGCTCTGCCTATCTAGAGGCAGAGCCAGCTGTACCCGCCCCCTCCCCCGTCGGATCGGAGCGGGGGGAATCCTGTCCCTCCCCTATCACGGCAGAGAGCCGTGACAGGATCGAGAGGTGAGCGAACGCCGGTATGTGTTCGCTCACCTCCCGATCTGTGACAGTCTCATTGTCACAGGTCGGCTAGAACTATGAGGTGAGTGAAAAGCAC